CGAAGGAACTGGTTCCGTGCGTTCCCAGCAATCAATGCGGAACGGGAAAGTCGTGTTACATTTCCGATGTCGCTGCACCGACTTGGATCAATTCAGTACCAGAAGTTCACAAGAAAAGGCGTCAGACGAAATTGCCTAATGTCCCACTCCTAACCTCCACTTTAAATAAAATTTCAATTTAGTTAGAATGCCTATTATGTTCACTCAAGTCAAAACGTCTTCCTTTTTTGAAATTTAGTGCGTCACAGATTTTTTATGTTATTATTATTGTAGTTTTAATTAACATTATTATTTCATTTTTCGTAAGAAATTGTTGCTTCATAATCGACCGTGTCTGTGCTGATTTTCTGGACATAAATTTGTACGGTTGCATTTTTAAATAATTGTTGACTTCATGTGTGAGTTGTAATCTTCAAACCGTTCCAACTTCCAACTGTATATTATCTACGGCTGCCAAACTTAAAGCCACAGAAAATGTTCTCACGGTCGCAGAGTTGTTTTGAGTCCTTCAAAATTATACCTAAACGCATTAAATTTAAAAGGCCTTCGCGTCGCTTCAAGCCGGCAAACTCGCGCGTCCTCCATCTTGTTATTGCTGTCTGTGAAACACTTAAGATGGCCTCCAATGGCATTACATTCATAGAAAGTGTCGTAAAAATCGGTAAACTGGTTCTAGCGTCGAAACAGAACACGCACAGCTTTGTAAGCTCGTTAAGTCCACTGCCTTCCCTTGAGAGCGAAAAGTAGGTTAGAGTCGTAACTGATTTAGATGCTAGTTAAGTCTTAAGCAGATGTTTTGTAGCTTTTAGGTACAAGGGAGCCTAAAATTTGCTGGAAACAAAAGCAAATAGAACACCGCAAGAATGTACAGATCAGGGCGTCAAGGAGAATGTTCTGTCTGGAGAAAACCGCGTAACTGAAGGCCTTCACTTATGTTACGAGGGTGGACAATCAGGGCCTAGCAGCTTACGTGGGTGGATTACAGACGCACACAACATCCCAGCAGGAACGTCTGAACGCAAAAGACCGCGTTGGACACCCAGACACAGAGGAGGATAATATAAACTACGGAATCAGCTGCTCCTGGATATGGTCCAGTGGCCAGCTCTTCCAAAACAGTAATTAAGCTATAAAAGGCGGGCAATTTCTTCACTAGCTGAGACACTATCAGTTTCTTAAAGAAGCTTCAGTCCACGGCGTTGTGGAAACACAAGCACGCCTTGTTTCAAGTAAGGCAAGGTCCAAGAGAGAGAAACTCTCTGCAGCGGAGTTAAATTTCCCAAGCGTCCACAGCAAAATTTATAATTCTGACGAGGGGTAATAAATTAAGTGATAAATTGGAGTTTCCGGAGCACGTTTCAAAAGAAAACGCCCTCATAGGTGTTCCTTTATGGTAAAAACGATGAAGCGATCGAAAATAGGGCATGGTGAAGCCTTTGAACCAGTTAACCTAACCTAACCTCACATAACATAACATAACCTAACATAACCTAACCTAACATAACATAACCTAACATAACCTAACCTAACATAACATAACCTACCCTAACATAACATAACCTAACATAACCTAACCTAACATAACATAACCTACCCTAACATAACATAACCTAACATAACCTAACCTAACATAACATAACCTACCCTAACATAACATAACCTAACATAACCTAACCTAACATAACATAACCTACCCTAACATAACATAACCTAACATAACCTAACCTAACATAACATAACCTACCCTAACATAACATAACCTAACATAACCTAACCTAACATAACATAACCTACCCTAACATAACATAACCTAACATAACCTAACCTAACATAACATAACCTACCCTAACATAACATAACCTAACATAACCTAACCTAACATAACATAACCTACCCTAACATAACATAACCTAACATAACCTAACCTAACATAACATAACCTACCCTAACATAACATAACCTAACATAACCTAACCTAACATAACATAACCTACCCTAACATAACATAACCTAACATAACCTAACCTAACATAACATAACCTACCCTAACATAACATAACCTAACATAACCTAACCTAACATAACATAACCTACCCTAACATAACATAACCTAACATAACCTAACCTAACATAACATAACCTACCCTAACATAACATAACCTAACATAACCTAACCTAACATAACATAACCTACCCTAACATAACATAACCTAACATAACCTAACCTAACATAACATAACCTACCCTAACATAACATAACCTAACATAACCTAACCTAACATAACATAACCTACCCTAACATAACATAACCTAACATAACCTAACCTAACATAACATAACCTACCCTAACATAACATAACCTAACATAACCTAACCTAACATAACATAACCTACCCTAACATAACATAACCTAACATAACCTAACCTAACATAACATAACCTACCCTAACATAACATAACCTAACATAACCTAACCTAACATAACATAACCTACCCTAACATAACATAACCTAACATAACCTAACCTAACATAACATAACCTACCCTAACATAACATAACCTAACATAACCTAACCTAACATAACATAACCTACCCTAACATAACATAACCTAACATAACCTAACCTAACATAACATAACCTACCCTAACATAACATAACCTAACATAACCTAACCTAACATAACATAACCTACCCTAACATAACATAACCTAACATAACCTAACCTAACATAACATAACCTACCCTAACATAACATAACCTAACATAACCTAACCTAACATAACATAACCTACCCTAACATAACATAACCTAACATAACCTAACCTAACATAACATAACCTACCCTAACATAACATAACCTAACATAACCTAACCTAACATAACATAACCTACCCTAACATAACATAACCTAACATAACCTAACCTAACATAACATAACCTACCCTAACATAACATAACCTAACATAACCTAACCTAACATAACATAACCTACCCTAACATAACATAACCTAACATAACCTAACCTAACATAACATAACCTACCCTAACATAACATAACCTAACATAACCTAACCTAACATAACATAACCTACCCTAACATAACATAACCTAACATAACCTAACCTAACATAACATAACCTACCCTAACATAACATAACCTAACATAACCTAACCTAACATAACATAACCTACCCTAACATAACATAACCTAACATAACCTAACCTAACATAACATAACCTACCCTAACATAACATAACCTAACATAACCTAACCTAACATAACATAACCTACCCTAACATAACATAACCTAACATAACCTAACCTAACATAACATAACCTACCCTAACATAACATAACCTAACCTAACCTAACTTCAAGAGTAAATGATTGAGGGAAAGATACCGAAATAAAAAAACAGGATGCAACAGGAGAGAAGTATTAGAGAACGAGGAACTGCTCACACAATTCAATCGAGAAGAAAAAATGCCGCGGCCTTGAAATATTTATATATTATGTGGTAGGAAAATGTAAGATTCCGTTACTGGTTTCGTGTAGCAAATAGTGAACTACATAATAGCCGTGATAGCCATGGTGCAACGACCTTCCCTGAGCAGCTGATAGTAGCTCAGTTGGTCAACAAGATGAAGGTCATCACTGTGGCCTAGATCAGTGGTGTTCAACCTGGGGTACGCGTACCCCCGAGGGTACGCGAAATTTTAAAAAAATCATTTTATGATAAACACTGAATAATCAGCAATGTAATTTATTTAATTTGTTTCAGATGTAGATTATATACTACGTATAACTCGAATTACACACCAACGACTTTGGGGGTACGAAGTTGAAGAGAAATTATATCTGGGGGTACGCGAACCAAAAAGGTCGAATACCATTGGCCTAGATCATGCCTTGTACTGCCACCTCAGTGTGGGTCATACCTTCATAAGAATTATATACCATCAGTTTTAAAATATTCCACGCCTAATGCCTTACGTTATTTAATGATATTGTTTCAACTGCAGAGGTTGTATGATCATGAATTGCGAAAAGCATTAGAAGGCGGTGGCCATGGCCGAATTCAAGCTGCTATTCGTCCTGTTAGACTGAGTAAGACCAAGAAAAATCTCAGTCAAGTACGCAAAATGAACTTCCAAAGGACCTTCCGAATACAAGAGTCAAATTACCAGATTATTTTTTTAAAAAAAGAACGTAAAATAACGAGGTTTGTGCATTCATATCTGCCCGCTCCTCCTTGCAACTTCTAAACCGAGAGATTTTCACGAAATTTGGTATGCACGATGTCACTGAGGGCCAATCCAAAATCAGTCTTTAGTTTCATAAAACCGGAATTAATACGGCGGGCGCACATAATCCACGTTCTTTCGATGATAATTATGGTAATAATAACCTGTAACATATTTACAACTGCAAGCAAAAACTAATTCTTACGCGACTAGGATTCGACAGTATTTTGCATCTGCGCAAGTCTGTCAAAGCGGACCGACTGGTGGATTGCCCCGTTTGATTATAAATTAAAGTTGCCACATCATCAACGCTCTGGAAAGTGGGCTTCGTGAGTTCTGCATGGAAATGCTCGTTAGACGACGACTGGTTCTGTTTGTTGACAGTCACGAGGAGCAAATGCAGTTAATCGACTTCAATCTTTCTCTTCTCGAAGTATTTGATAAAATAACCTAATAAAATTTACAAGTTAAACCGGTAAGAAAGGAAACTTTGGACCGAACTATGTCCTGGCTCCACCGTCCGTTCACACAAGACACATGGAACAATGCAATTGTTGGTTAGGTTACATGCATGTCAAGGCTGAAGCTATGAAACTACTTAAAATGTGCAATAGAAATGTGGGGTCGACCAGGATAATTTCAGGTAATACGACATTTCAAGACAAAACGTGACGCTCACAAACACATCCAGTTCGACTCCCACACACACGTTCCTGATCTACTGTATTTCTAAACATCAAATGGTTAGTTTACCCGTTCGGTAATTCCTCTTCAGAGAAACAAAGATTCATGCATATTTTAAGTCCAAAGCCGCATCTTCTGTGCTTCAAATCACATCCACAAATTACCACGTGAGAAACCAAAGAATCAACCGTCAACTGTCAGTCCCAGGCAGAGCTGCTGAAGCGCTCGGCTCCCGGAAACGCTCGATTCAAACCGAAGTTGTCGCGATCAAAACAACTACACCATTGTTGTTAACTGGAAAGCGTTAACTGAACAGTTCTTCTTAGGAACAGTCCGACTGTACCTCAAGAACGACAGCTAAGACGCCCACTTGTAGCTACGAGAACTATTACTATGGTTATGACAGAGAGCGCGTATCGGCGACTGCCGTCATTTGATATCGCATCATCAGTGCCATCTAAGGAGAACGGCTAGAACTCTCGCGACACCGGAAACACAAGTTGTATCGGAAGTCGACGCCAGATGGCTTTAGTAATACAAATCAACCCTCGCTGCGTGCGTTGAACCCCCAACAACATTAAAAATGCACTGTCGCCGGTGCATCCTTACTGCACGGTGCGACGAGGTGTATCGACCGGGTGTCTGGTGCCCCGTCACATTTACCTGGCCATGTCAGCAACAATCAACACTCCCAGCGCACTCGATCGCCACAAGCTCCGCTACTCGACTGAGTTACATTGTCGGTGCGATTAGGTTGGAGGGGAGACTACCCCCTCCCTCCTTTCAGGAGCCAACGCAAAACGCAGTACGCACAGTCTGTGTCTTCGTGAGCCGAACAACCAGACACACGCAGCCAATTCTTAGTCTTTTCGATGAATCTTCGTGCCTGCTTTTGGTACGGCGTGGGCAACGCATTTGAGAGGCCTGGGGAATGGAGACATGGTATCTTAAAATACGTAATGGTTATGCCTTCCATCGTCACAAGACTTCGTAGTTCCTGGTCTGCTATTGCCAGTCAATTACGTTTTTCAGTGTTGGTATTGAAATAGTTTCGCCGTGCAGAAGTTCGATAGTTGCCGACGTTTCAGACGTTTCAGTCTCTTAAAAACACCTTCGCCACTAATGCTGATAATTGGAAACAAGTTTTCTTTTTGAGATTATAAAGTTGCGTCATATTGTGATAAATATATATTTGTTTAAATCTTGTCAGTCTAATCACAATAAAATTCCTATTAAATATTAAAATATTACTATAATTAACATTTAAATATTTAAAATATATTAAACAAAGTTTTCTTTTTGTCTGAAGTAATTAAACATTAATTTATCGTCTACTTGGGATCGTTCAACCCATCTAACTCATCCAGAGACCAATTCGGAATTATCTGACCGCATCTACGAAGCCCAACTTTGAAATACAAGAACAAGTTTTATTTTCTCGTACATTTTGATCGACTGAGAAACGTCCACTCGAAAAACCGAGGTCGTGGTCGTATAAAGATCGATCTTCAGGGTCGATGCGGCTCAGAACAGGGGCCGAGGGCGGGCTTTTGCGAACATGGCAATGAACCTTCGGCTTCTCAATGAGGGCGTCAAAAGACACTTCGTGATTCGCGCAGCCCAACCACGGGTGCGGCGAGTGTCTGAGTAAAACCACCGAACTCAGCCCTGACGCTAGGCCACATTCAACTGTCTCGTTTTGTGTCGAGGGTTGCCGACGCTGCGCAAGGGAGAGGCAAAGCTCACCCTACGACCCTGCCACCTGTTACGTTGTCTCCGAAAAAGAACATCGACTTCCTTGTCCTTGGTTTATGAACCTGTTTCCGCTCCAGGGTCCTTTTTGAGCGACGGCTCGGGCAGTGAACGGACCCAGGGACTCTGCCCCAACATGAATGTGGAATATTTTCTCAAGGAATAAAGCGGCCAGAGCTTTAAACTAGACACACATATATAAAGAGGAGCTCAGTATAGTGACTGATCACGTACTCGACGACCGGGGTTCGATCCCCGACGGCGCCAGAGGAATCTTCCTCTAGCCTCTGCATCTAGACCGGTTCTGGGGCCCACCCAGCCTCCTATCCATGGGTATCGTCGGGGTCCTTTCCCGGAGGTAAAGCTGACGCTTAAATGAGGCTTAGACCCACGCATTCGTAAGCTAGAATCGCCCCGACGTCGGGGGAAAAACGAATATTTTGAAACACGAAAGATGCGAAATTATCTTAAAAAGTTACAATTGCACAGCAAACAATTTAAAAATTTCAAGTGAGATTTGAGGTTCTGACGGAGTCAAACATGAAGATTACTCTGAAACGTCGGTGAATTTGTATACCAGGCCGCACGTCGCTACAACCCAGAACTCACTTCCTACAACGTGGTGTTTGTTTGTGGAGGACATTAGCGCTGCAGTGCGATTGACACTTCCTAGAGCATCTGTGATGTGGGTCAGTGCATCGACCCGTGGGAACCAAAGGGAAAAGCTCCGCGTAGATCACGACGCGGATGTGTTCTCTCTGAGGTCCGCGCAATTTTAAATACGCCTGTAATTAAATGAAGGCGTCATTGATTTTATGAAGATTCAGCGTAGATTCAAAATCAACATAAGTCCAAATGACGAAGGAAAGCTAAGTCCACATTAAGTAAACGCACCGCCACTGACATTAAACCTGTGTTAATTATTCACGAATCACCCATCTCGCATGGTACGTAATCTGCTCGGTATTAATGTAGGCCTCCCTTGCCGGGGGGCTACGCCGCTGATTCGCTGATCTCAACGAGTTACAGAGGCTTCAGGACATAAACAAAGCCACCGAGAGTAACGCCAACTGAAATGTTCCACGGACAAACAGGAATATAACTGAAAGAAGTCACTCACTTCAAGGGAAAGCAGATTTTCCACATCAAATACAGGAAAGCTCTGAACACTGTCACATTCAGCAGGCAGTGGAATACGATGGTTCCTATGTTCCACGTAGATCCCTCGGAAATTAGACATGCAATGCAAATATATTCGCAAAATATTTATAATTCATATTCGGATTAAAAATTAAAGGAATATAGATTGTTTCCAAACTTGGGTATCTTCTGGGTTGTGACGCCGTATATTCTGGTAGAAGTTCACTTATCGTCCTGATGAAGGAGGCAGCAAGGACTTCTGAAACGTCGGCGAACTTCCATCAGACTACCCGGCGCTACAACCCAGAAGACAGCGATCTTCGTGAACGCAGTCAGTATCTAATTTCTCCTTGGGATTGTGTCTTAGGTAAGTAGAAAACTTACTAAAAGTAAATGTCTCTCCCAAAACGTCGACTTTTCTCTCACTTACAAATTTTCTGTTATCGTTTGCGTCTGAGGTTGGTAAATTAGTTTTTCTTCTTTTTTTTAAACAGATGACACTTGTCTGAGATCGAAATTGTGTTTAACATTGAAATGAGTTTGCTATTTATCCTCGGGTTGGTAAGAACGCGGCAACCCTCGTTTTGTGTCGAGGGTTGCCGACGCTGCGCAAGGGAGAGGCAAAGCTCACCCTACGACCCTGCCACCTGTTACGTTGTCTCCGAAAAAGAACATCGACTTCCTTGTCCTTGGTTTATGAACCTGTTTCCGCTCCAGGGTCCTTTTTGAGCGACGGCTCGGGCAGTGAACGGACCCAGGGACTCTGCCCCAACATGAATGTGGAATATTTTCTCAAGGAATAAAGCGGCCAGAGCTTTAAACTAGACACACATATATAAAGAGGAGCTCAGTATAGTGACTGATCACGTACTCGACGACCGGGGTTCGATCCCCGACGGCGCCAGAGGAATCTTCCTCTAGCCTCTGCATCTAGACCGGTTCTGGGGCCCACCCAGCCTCCTATCCATGGGTATCGTCGGGGTCCTTTCCCGGAGGTAAAGCTGACGCTTAAATGAGGCTTAGACCCACGCATTCGTAAGCTAGAATCGCCCCGACGTCGGGGAAAAACGAATATTTTGAAACACGAAAGATGCGAAATTATCTTAAAAAGTTACAATTGCACAGCAAACAATTTAAAAATTTCAAGTGAGATTTGAGGTTCTGACGGAGTCAAACATGAAGATTACTCTGAAACGTCGGTGAATTTGTATACCAGGCCGCACGTCGCTACAACCCAGAACTCACTTCCTACAACGTGGTGTTTGTTTGTGGAGGACATTAGCGCTGCAGTGCGATTGACACTTCCTAGAGCATCTGTGATGTGGGTCAGTGCATCGACCCGTGGGAACCAAAGGGAAAAGCTCCGCGTAGATCACGACGCGGATGTGTTCTCTCTGAGGTCCGCGCAATTTTAAATACGCCTGTAAATAAATGAAGGCGTCATTGATTTTATGAAGATTCAGCGTAGATTCAAAATCAACATAAGTCCAAATGACGAAGGAAAGCTAAGTCCACATTAAGTAAACGCACCGCCACTGACATTAAACCTGTGTTAATTATTCACGAATCACCCATCTCGCATGGTACGTAATCTGCTCGGTATTAATGTAGGCCTCCCTTGCCGGGGGGCTACGCCGCTGATTCGCTGATCTCAACGAGTTACAGAGGCTTCAGGACATAAACAAAGCCACCGAGAGTAACGCCAACTGAAATGTTCCACGGACAAACAGGAATATAACTGAAAGAAGTCACTCACTTCAAGGGAAAGCAGATTTTCCACATCAAATACAGGAAAGCTCTGAACACTGTCACATTCAGCAGGCAGTGGAATACGATGGTTCCTATGTTCCACGTAGATCCCTCGGAAATTAGACATGCAATGCAAATATTTATAATTCATATTCAGATTAAAAATTAAAGGAATATAGATTGTTTCCAAACTTGGGTATCTTCTGGGTTGTGACGCCGTATATTCTGGTAGAAGTTCACTTATCGCCCTGATGAAGGAGGCAGCAAGGACTTCTGAAACGTCGGCGAACTTCCATCAGACTACCCGGCGCTACAACCCAGAAGACAGCGATCTTCGTGAACGCAGTCAGTATCTAATTTCTCCTTGGGATTGTGTCTTAGGTAAGTAGAAAACTTACTAAAAGTAAATGTCTCTCCCAAAACGTCGACTTTTCTCTCACTTACAAATTTTCTGTTATCGTTTGCGTCTGAGGTTGGTAAATTAGTTTTTCTTCTTTTTTTTAAACAGATGACACTTGTCTGAGATCGAAATTGTGTTTAACATTGAAATGAGTTTGCTATTTATCCTCGGGTTGGTAAGAACGTGAAAGTATTTTGTGTCCTTTCGAGTTCCATTCCGCAAAATCTGTCAGCATTGTTTAACGGGATTTTCGGACAAAGTCCCATAAGAATCCTCCATGTGAAAACTCAATTAGCCTTCTCGAGGTGAGTCGCCATTTTACTGTCACATCAACAGTTGCGCTCCTAGTGGTCATAACTGAAGTTACGTAACTTCTCCCAAAATCTACTTTTTCTTTTTAAGTTTGTCCTTCCAATGGCGTAACTTTCATTTATGTAGGCCGTTTAATTTAAATGCATGGATACTTTGAACTACTCAGACCATTTTTTCGCAAGTTTACATTCTTCGTGTAAAACGGATTACAAAATAAAACATTCCGTGAACG